CACGGGTGTCAGAGAGATAGTGAAGGGTTTTAGGAAGCACCTGCTGGTGGGCAGTATGGCAAAAGAGCTGGACACAGGCTGGGAGACCTTGGCTCTCCTGGGCTGCAACCCAGGGCTTCTTTCGGCGATTCTACACCAGGTCTCTCAACAGGATGGCACTCAAGAACCCAGGAAGGAGGCTCTTGTGCTGTTAGAGTCAGAGTGGGTGCAAGAGGACAAGTTGAAAGAGTCAAGTGTAGTTTGGGGCTCCGGGGGAAAAGCCATGGTGCCTAGGAAGGGCGGCCTCAGCTCTGGGCCAGAGACCCCATGGCCTGGGAAGCTAGTGAGCTCCAGGGACCTGGCAAGCAGACTGCCAGCCCTTGACCCAGTAGCAGGTGGGAGAAGTGTTCCCAAGTGCCCCCAGCATCCTCTGGGGGCAGCATCAGTCCTCATCACTGGTCCATGGACAGCTACAGATGCCCTCAGGACCATGGGCCCACAGGTACCGGGGGCATGCCTGGCATCGGCTGCCCTCCCAAACCGTAGGTCCGGGACTCACCAAGGTGCCCACAAGAGGGTCTCTTGGGAACCCCAGGGACAGGGCCGAGCCACACAAAAAGAGGGGTGCTGATCCTCTGTGGAGGAGAAAGGAGGATTAGGCCCTCTAAGGTCAGACCTCTGGCAACCCAGAGAAGCTGTGTGGGTGCAATCACCAGAGCGAATCCCAGCAACAGCATGAATTCCGGGCACCTCCAGAGTCTTTCGAGAATGCCCTCAACCAGACCCAGCTGCTGCCTAGGAGACAGAGGACCAGGGTCAGGATTCGTGCTCCTGCCTCAGCTCCAGGAGGTCTGAAAGGGAATGGCTCCCACGGCCCCAGTAGACCCTCAGATTCGGTGCATAGCTCAGTCTTGAGGGTGAGCATGGGACAACTGGCCCCAGCCCCAGCCAACTATACAGCTAGTGTCACTAATTCCACACAAGAAGCCAATGGTGCTGCTCAGCACTGAAACCCCCAATTTCCCTGAGTCACAGATAACCTTGGGTGGGCTGCCTGACCTGCAGTGGATGTCCTTATTCCCTCCACCCAGGCTCGGAGCCTCTGTGCCCTGGGAAGTGGGAGAAGGAGAAGGAAAGGGGGAGGGGAAGGGGCAGCCTTGCCTTTGTCAGAATGTCCCTGAAGATGCCTCTGTACTGCGGACCAAAGCGCGGCTCCCTCGCTCCCTTGTGCACCCAGGTATTTCAGGGCCTCCCACAACACAGTGCTCCAGCCAGTCCCAGGCTGCCCTGCATTCTCCTTGCACTGGTTTCCAGGACTTTTACCCGTTCTCTGAACCAGCATCAAGGAAACACTCACCCCATTCCCGTGGTGCACAGGGTCTGCAAGCAGTGAGTACCAGGGTCTAGCCTGCCCAGTCCAAGAAGAGCTGAGACCAATGGGTCCAGAAGCATCTACACCCACCTCCAGAAAAGCTTCCTGGCCCTGGTGCAAGCTTCTTGGCCAGACTGTAAGGCCAGCCATATCCCGAGGAGGCAAGGTCATACCCAAACTGGCTCACACTGTGAGTGTGCACATCGCCAACACCTGGCAAGTGCTGCAGACAGTGCTGGCCAGCCAGGAGCTGGAGGTGTAGGAGGAGGAAGGTGTGCTGGTAGTGTTGCTAGTGCTCGTGGGGTTGGAGGAGAGAGTGGTCTGGGAAGCAGGATGTTTCATCCACAAGCTCAGACAATAGCCTGTGCTCCTTTTGGTACCACCATGGCTGCCCCCAGGCCTATGGGCAACACCAGAAAGGCCGCTGATATAAGAAATTCCCGGCTCATGGTCAAGACCATTCTTGAGTACAACCAAGGCAATGGCAAGTTCCCCTGGTTATGAGCTCAGGAAGCCTGGAATAACGGGGAAATATCCAAAGGACACTTCCCACTGGCTTTCCCATGCCTCTGCCAGGGCAACAGTTTCATAATATGTCCAGTCTTACCTTACCCCGGGAACCTAGAACCTCATGGCTACTCCTCCCTCTTTAACTCTTGTCCTTGTACAACTTGAAGGAAGATGTCCTAAGGAACAGGTATCTCTCAGTGAATTGGGTTTAGAAGACATATAAATTAATAAGTGTTAATACTCTTGAGGAGGGAGGTGTTTTTTCCCATTCATAGGGAACAGCTGTGTGAAGATGCACCATGTGCCCACACACAGACCCACATAGTGCACATATTATGCAGATTATTTGTGGATAGGGGAAAGCAGTCAAGCATCGTCAAGATCAGTGAAATAATTTTATACCAATATATGAAAAAATAAGTGCAATACTGTGGGGGGATTTCAAATCACAGGGAACATCTGTATAGAGCAAAGAATAGACACAAACATGTACACAACAAACACACACAATCAGTGTGTTTGTGTGTCTCAGGCTCAAATAAAGCACAGACTACTCAGTGGGCCTCTGGACAGGGAAAAGTAATCACATGTTTTCCAAAGAGAGGAAAAGCTGGAGGACCTCTTACTCAAGATTTCTATCCTAGGTGCTCAGGAGCTTGGGATCAGAAGACCATGATTCCAAAAAGACCAGATAGGAAAGTACAGGAGCCTGTCATCTCCACTGAACTACTCTTCCCCAAAGACATCCCACCCTCAAAATCATTGCTGGAAGTGGAGCTTTGGCTCAAGTGGTAGAACACTATCCTTGAGGAAGGAAACCTCAACCAGGTCAAACCAGGCCCTGAGTCAAGGCCCAGGACCAGAGCCAAACAAATAAATAGTGACAATTAAAAATTTATGAAAAATCGTGTAAATTAAAAAAGGTTTAAATATTTTTAAGAATATCCAGGTGAAAGATGATTCATGGAAAATCTGAGAGACACAGGTGGTGTCCCTCAACCTGGGCTCCAACTGGTGAGGCAGCTGGAGAGGCCCACTGGAGCCAAGAGGTTCATAGCCAGGCTGCCGGAGAAACCAACACTTCATGTCCTAGAATGCATTGTGTGTGAGGGCTCAGAGGCAGAGGGAAGAGGAGGAGGGAGCAGTAGAACACCATCTTTACCAGCACAGATGGCTTGGACTGTCTTTTTTTGCCAGTCTTGTACTTGAACTCAGGGCCTGGATGCTATCCCTGGCCCTCTCTGTGCTCAAGGTTAGTGCTCTACCACTTGAGTCACAGCATCACTTCTGGCTTTTTCTGTGTATGTGGTACTGAGGAATTGGACCGAGGGCTTCATGCATACTAGGCAAGCACTCTACCACATAGCCACATTCCCAGCCTAGGACTGACTATCTTACTTCACAATTAGTCGGGTGATACTTTCTCCATCCTCATATCCACTCTTCTTCCACCTGCAACTGAAAGCTATTCCTCTAATTGTTCTTCTCTCAAACCCATGTCAGAGGAATGAAAATCAAGAGACGTCTGCACCAGGAGTGCATGTTTACAATGAGCCAGGTCCAGCATCAAAGCTCTACTCATTATGTGGAGGGGGGAGAAGAATAAAGAATTTATTTCTATACTCTGCTTTGCTCCAATAGTGTGTGAAATAGTTCAGTGAGCAGGGTTGCTATAGGAACCTGTCATGTAGGGCCTGGTACAGATGGACTCTGACTTTGGCAATGCCTGGTCTGTGAGCTACTGGCCTTTGGGGAGTGGTGTTATCTTTGTGCACCTGCAGCAACTGCTTGGACTCACACTAAGATGGTGGATTCATTGTCAAGCAAATGTCCTGTACATCTGGCACTAGGGTGCACAGCTTCCTCACTTGCTGGATTCCAGGTGGGAGCCTTCCTCATCATACTCTGGATTTATCACCTGTGGCATTTTGTTTGTCTGGCTTTGCAGCTCCAGTGTCCCACTTCACACTTCACTACGCTACATGTCATCCTTTCAGAGCTTGTTTATATCATAAACTCTAAATTAAATCACTGAAAACTTCTTTTTTTTTTTTTTTTTTGAATCCGGTTGTGGGGCCTGAACTCTGGGCCTGGGCGCTGTCCTTCAGCTCTTCAGCTCAAGGCTAGCACTCTACCACTTGAGCCACAGCACCCGGCTTTTTTCTTTTTGCTTATGTGGTGCCTCAGGAATGCAAGGCAAGCGCTCTACCACTGAGCCAACTTCCCAGCCCCCACTGAAAACTTCTTTCATTACAAATTCCATTAAATGGAAGGTACTGTAGGAGTTTACAGTTTTAAGAGGCAGAATAAATTAAAGTTTAGTTGAGTGTTGGTTTAGAGAATAGCTCAGGTTCTGAGGAGGAATAACTTGGATTAACAATAAGGCATGAATGTCATCAAGACTTGCAGTTCAGAAATGTACAATGTAATAAGGCTATGCCTGTAACCAGTTCCTTTCAGTATACAGAGAGCCAATGTCTGATATTAAGTCTACTGGATGATGGTGGTAGGAAAGTACATTCAGAACCAGAGGACAGCAACCTGGAGTTGATAGCAAAACCCAAAGGTTAGCCTGTACATTGCACACGATAGCACAATACTGCACATACTTTAATTTCATACTTTTCATTGTCTTTCATTAAGTCTTAATTAATACTTGTCTATCATCTATTTATTTAACTGTCAATCTCTCTATCAATCTACATACCCATGTAGCTTGAGTAATTGAGTAATTGTGTCCATGATTAACAAACAGGTTCAAGGAAACCAGACTTAGAAAATCTGATCTAAATCATTAATTCTACATTTTGGAACCGTTTTTGCTTGAAAAATTGACTTAGAAAAAATGCAATTATGAAAAGCGTGTCATGACCCATGTGTAAATTAAAGTTCATTGTATTTAACCAGAGAGGCATTCTGTCCCCTTAACCTCAGAGAGAAACATATTCTCTTCAGGCACATCAGTGCTACCCTGGTGTGTTTTTTTTGTATCTGGGACATCATGTCTGGGCTGATATACTGGGCTGGTGCAGCTGTGCTGGCCCCTTCCAACCCCTACTGATTTGCATGTGCCCAGAGCACAGCCCACTGCCCTGAGCAGTTCTTGAAAGCTGCTCATACCCTGAGCAGGAGTCAGTCCTTGCCAGCACACAGCATGGACATGAAGGCCTCTGCTCAGTTCCTGGGGCTCCTGCTGCTCTGGATTACAGGTAAGGAAAGACTACGCTGAGGATCTCCTCAGTCTGCTGTAGTCAGTGATGCCTGGCTGTTTATGAAGCTTTCTGAAAACACGCTTGATTCTTTGTATACTTATTACTTTTCCAATGGCAGGTACCAAATGTGACATCCAGATGACCCAGTCTCCATCCACTTTGTCTGCATCTCCTGGAGACAGAGTCACCATCACTTGCCGGGCCAGTCAGGGCATTAACAGTTGGTTAAACTGGTACCAGCAGAAACCAGGGGGAGCTCCAAAGCTCCTGATCTATGGTGCAAACATTTTACAATCTGGGATCCCCTCCAGATTTAGTGGCAGTGGATCTGGTACAGAGTACACTCTCACCATCAGTAGCCTGCAGCCTGAAGACATTGCCACTTATTACTGTCAACAGAATTATAATAACCCACCCACAGTGATACAAGCCATAACATAAACCTCCAAGAAGCAGAAGTGTGAGCCTGGGCTGCCTCATCTGCTTTCCTCATTCTTCCTCTTGTAAGAGCTGTTCTAGAATCATAGGAAATGAGTCCTGCCCAGGATATCCTGGACCAGCGAGCTTCTATGTCTCAATCTTTGGAGTAAGTGTAATTATAGATGTGTGATACTGGCACTGGGCTGAATGTTGAAATATTACAATGACATTCCAGACTATAAACACTGAAATAATCTGCGTTTATTCAAGTTTCTTTTAATCTTGAATAGATATTCACAATGTGCATGGAGACACTTCAAAGTTATTTCAAAAGTTTTATTTTGAGATTTTTAAATACTTTATACATAAATTTCATCAGCAAGTATAGACAGTTTGCCACTTCCTTTTTCTGTTTCAGGTCTTTTGTGCTTTTTTTCCAATTAGTTTTAGCTTTTCTTATTGCATTTGGAGAACCTCAGTAAAATTTTAGGTACAGAAAGTAATAGTGAACATTTCATACTTGCATAAAACTTGAGTGGTAAAATGCTAAATAACTGTATCAATGAGTACAAAGTTTGTTGCAGGGTTTTCCTATTTATTAAAACAGGTATTTTCCATTACTCCTGGACTGCTGATATGTCATGGATAGCTGTTGACTCCATTAGAAATATTTTTTCTTAAATGGAGACAGCCTATAGTTTTTCTCTTTAACTCAACCAGAATGATGAAGTGCAGAGATCAGTTATCTAATTTTAAAAGAGATTTCTACTTGTGGAATATATTCAACATACATTGCCTAAGAAAATAAGGAAAATGAGAGAGAGAGAGAGAGAGAGAGAGAGAGAGAGAGAGAGAGAGAGAGAGAGAGAGAGAGAGAGAGGGAGAGAGGGAGAGAAAGAAAGAGAGAAAGAGAGAGAGAGAGAAGCAAAGTAGGAGATGGAGATGAATGGAAGGAGAGAAAGGGAGGGGTGAAAGGAGGATAAATTTAGTTTATTTCTATTTTCTAAATCCCAGTTCCACTTATCAATCAAGCTGAAATTATCAAGAGAAACACTGAATACAAACAACACTGTTGGCACAGCCATTCTGTGCTCTCCCCTGCAAGGTACACTGAAGGTGAGATGTTTCTTGAGCTTAGTCCGTCTGTCCTCCAGACCAGTTCCCACCAAGAATCACAGCAGTGTTCCTAGCTCACTGAATCTTCTCTGTTTTAATCTCAAGAATCTAGGAATCTTTCAGGTGGACCTGTTGCAACAATGAGAAGTACAAAATGTCATGTCAAAACCAGCTTTACAATGTCGGTGGTGGGGGAGGGGGGGTATGATTGGGTGGGGGGGAGGGGGGAGGCTGGGAAGGGAGGTGAAGGGTAAACAAAGGAGGCTACAATGCTTGGTAAGAAATGTATGCATTATCCTGCCCATGTAATTTTAACCCCTCTGTACAGTATGTTCTCAAATAAAATAAAATAAAATTAAAAAAAAAAAGAATCTAGGAATCTTTGACAGTCACTGAAGTTTTTTATTTATAAAAATAAAAATGAACAAAAATCAAGATAAAGCAGATCTTCATTAATTTAGAAGCCCTCTGATTCTCAGATTGACAATTGAACATATGCATGCAACTTATGCATCATATTTATGTATATATACCTATTGCATAAGATACAGTACATAAGAATTAAATATAAATTATATAAAATATATTATGTGTTATTTTTATATATGATGTATTATTAGATATTAGTCTATGATTTTTCTGATTTTCCCTATTTTATTGTTTTCACGATTTTGTAAAGGTGATACATAGAGAGATTACAGTTACAAAAGTAAGGTAATGAGTAGGTTTCTTTTTGAATAGTGTTGCCCTCTCCCTCATTCTCTCCAGTGTCTACCTTGCCAACTACTCCCCCAGCCCAAGTTGTACAGTTCATTTCCAATATATTGTCTAACAAGTATTATTGTCACATTGTTTTGTTATTATATGTTGTGTCATTTATGTATCCTCTTAAGACTTACCAAATTTTTTAACCAATGTATAGGAAACTCTTCCATTTTACAAAATATTGTCCTATGGATTATAACTTTACCTGGAAATATATCCAACTAATCATAAAGAATAACTTGGGGGAAAAACTCACTCTGAAAGAGTTTCTATGGTGGGTATTGAAGTTTCCACTACTAAATATCATGAGTTAAGTATTAGGGAAAAGGTATACACAAAGGTGAATTAAGAGCAAGTAAAAATGACAAAAATAGGGCATCTCTCTTTTATAGGCAATGTTCTAACTGTGGATGTAGGAGGAAATAGATTGAGGAGGTGGAGATGTGGTGAGATGAAAGACTTCAGGGGTTTGTTGCCATTGAAGAAAATACTTAGGATTATGAGATATATGATACTGTGAGTAAAAATAGCCAAGGAAAAAATTGGTCCATGGATGGAAGAAGGTAAAATCCCAGAGAAAGATACAGCAAAGTGTTCAACACTACTGTAACAATTACACAAATGAGGATGCTGAAGCAGATAAGTAAGGAACTTAGCAGCTGCCACACTCCATAAAGCACGGAATGGCGGGGCCACCAGGGCACATTGTTTGACCTCAGGCTCACAGGATAGCAGCTGGATTGTGTCTATGGATGTGCATTTTACCCTGAGTCTGCAGAGACATACATGGAATAGAGTGGCACAGATGAAAATGCTTTCTTGAGACACATCTTGCAGATGGAAAAGGAGAGTTTAATTTTTTATTGAGGAATTAGAAGACAGACAGGGAGGACATTCAGAGCCAGAGAACTTAAGCCAAAGTAAAGAGCTGATCACACTGTCCTTCAAGACATGCATGGTTGAAGACCAGCCATCCAATAAGCACACTTGAAGGAGCAGGAAAAACCCAAGGTGGGTTCTAGGTAGACCTGAATTTCAGACTGCTAAGTAGCAGAGAGCCTGAGATCACTGTGATCTTTTGCTCATCACAATTGCTGCATAGTGGGCAACTGTTTGGTTGGCTATATAGTTTTAGTGTCTCTATTTCTTAGGGTTCTCTACAGTAACTTTTGGATAAGATTTTCACCTTGGTTCCTGGAATTTTCTTCAGAGTTTTTCTAATGTTAGGTTCAGGAAAACTCACTGCCAATAACTTTGGGTGAGGCACATGTAGGTGTATGCTTTAAATATTGCACATGTCAAGTACACGTCATGACCACTACCATGAGATGACAAGAACACAAATAAGAAAAATATGAGAAGTCCAGGCCTGGTGATGCATGCCTTGTACTTTCAGATATAAAGGACAAAGAGGTAGAAATATCTCAGTCCAGGGCAGCTGAAGAATTTTCTGTACATTCCAGATGATAGCAGAACAATGAATTAAAGCAAAAGCAGCAGTTGGAAGGGTGGCTTAGTGGATAGAGTGCTGGCCTAGCAATCTGAAGTCCCTGAGTTCTAACTGTAGTACACACAAAAAGAACTGTGAGATAAAGAGAATAAAAACTGTAATGATACACAAGAAAGATTCTATGCAAATACCATCAGGATAATTTACAGTAAAATGTTGACATATCAATTTGAAATATCAAATCATTGGATGCAAGTTACCAAACTATAGACTAAGCATGTGTCTCCATGTTTTGCAGTCTAACAGAACCAAAAGCACATCTCCCATGCTGGACACAGATCATTCTGAAACCAGATTTTTAACATTTTAAAATGCAGACTCCTGTATCATGTCTGACTCCTCACTCCCAAATGCCAAATACAGACATAGTGAAGGGCAGAAAAAGGAGGTTTGTCATGATAGCCATGGGAAAGCAGCATTTTAATATTTATCCACCATCTTTGGATAAATCTTGTGACTCTTATTTCCGTGATTGGTAAGTAAAAAGCCAGATGTGGAGATGTGGCTCAAGTGGTAGAACACCAATTTGAGAGAAAAATCCAAACAAGAGTGAGCAGGAGGCCGTGAGTTCAAGACCCTGTCCTAGAACTGAAATAAAAAAAGAATATTGAATTTATAGAAATTAGAAGAAATTGAATACATGATTTGTATTGAAGATATTATATGCTTAGCAGTAAATGATAAACGATGTAGTAAATGATAAAGCAATATAATTGGTTCTATTGGTGTTTGAACTTGGGGTTTCCTACTTAGTAGGCTCTAGAACTTAAGTCATTTCTCCATCAGATTTTACTTCAGTTTATTTTTCAGATGAGGTCTTGTGATTTTATCTGGCTAGGCCTTCTATAACAATCCTTCTAATTTCATCTCCTGCATAGCTTCAGAAACATATACCACGTGCTACAACTTGTTTTTGGGGTTGAGTTTCACTGCTTTCCAGGACAGCTATGAATGAAGCACAATCTTAAAAATCTTTGCCTCCAGTTTAGCTGGGATTGCAGGCATGAATTACCATGTCCAGCCCTTCAATGAAATGCTTTTAAGAACCTTGTTACTAAGCTAGGTCCTGGTGGCTCACCCATATAATCCTAGCTACTCAAGAGGCCGAGAAATGAGGATCACGGCTCAAAGCTGGCCCACGGAAGGAAAGTCCTTAAGACTCTTATCTCCAATAAACCACCAGAAAAACAGAAGTGGTGATGTGGCTCAAGTGATAGAGTACTAGCCTTGGGCTGAAGAGCTGAGGGACAGTGCCTAGGCTCAGAGTTCAAGCCCCATAACCGACCAAAAGAAAAAAAAATGAAGAATTATTTGTAATATGTTATATTTCATATAAAGATGAAGAAAAACAACTTCACATTACAATATAAAAGAAATAAACTCAACTAAAATAAAAGCACACAGAGTGTTATACCCAGTAGCCAGTGTTCAGCAATGTGACAGCAGGATTAGGGATGTTATTTTTCTTTTAGCATGTATTCTTTTGTTAATTCTCACTTGAGGTACAATATCTATTGTATAAATATTTAAAGCAAATGGATGATGAGAAGGATAAGGAAGATGAAATTATGATACTGTAATAGGAAAAGAAAATGCAAAAGTTGGAGAGAATCTTTATGAATAAGAAGCCACTCTCCCGAATGATCA